TGTGTGTGTGTGTGTGTGTGTGTGTGTGTGTGTGTGTGTGTGTGTGTGTACTCACCTAGTTCTCACCTAGTTGAGGTTGCGGGGGTCGAGTCCGAGCTCCTGGCCCCGCCTCTTCACTGATCGCTACTAGGTCACTCTCCCTGAGCCGTGAGCTTTATCATACCTCTGCTTAAAGCTATGTATGGATCCTGCCTCCACTACATCGCTTCCCAAACTATTCCACTTACTGACTACTCTGTGGTTGAAGAAATACTTCCTAACATCCCTGTGATTCATCTGTGTCTTCAGCTTCCAACTGTGTCCCCTTGTTACTGTGTCCAATCTCTGGAACATCCTGTCTTTGTCCACCTTGTCAATTCCTCTCAGTATTTTGTATGTCGTTATCATGTCCCCCCTATCTCTCCTGTCCTCCAGTGTCGTCAGGTTGATTTCCCTTAACCTCTCCTCGTAGGACATACCTCTTAGCTCTGGGACTAGTCTTGTTGCAAACCTTTGCACTTTCTCTAGTTTCTTTACGTGCTTGGCTAGGTGTGGGTTCCGAACTGGTGCCGCATACTCCAATATGGGCCTAACGTACACGGTGTACAGGGTTCTGAATGATTCCTTATTAAGATGTCGGAATGCTGTTCTGAGGTTTGCTAGGCGCCCATATGCTGCAGCAGTTATTTGGTTGATGTGCGCTTCAGGAGATGTGCCTGGTGTTATACTCACCCCCAAAATCTTTTTCCTTGAGTGAGGTTTGTAGTCTCTGGCCCCTAGACTGTACTCCGTCTGCGGTCTTCTTTGCCCTTCCCCAATCTTCATGACTTTGCACTTGGTGGGATTGAACTCCAGGAGCCAATTGCTGGACCAGGTCTGCAGCCTGTCCAGATCCCTTTGTAGTTCTGCCTGGTCTTCGATCGAGTGAATTCTTCTCATCAACTTCACGTCATCTGCAAACAGGGACACCTCAGAGTGTGTGTGTGTGTGTGTGTGTGTGTGTGTGTGTGTGTGTGTGTGTGTGTGTGTGTGTGTGTGTGTGTGTGTGTGTGTGGGGATCACCTAGTTCTCACCTAGTTGAGGTTGCGGGGGTCGAGTCCGAGCTCTGGCCCCGCCTCTTCACTGATCGCTACTAGGTCACTCTCCCTGAGCCGTGAGCTTTATCATACCTCTGCTTAAAGCTATGTATGGATCCTGCCTCCACTACATCGCATCCCAAACTATTCCACTTACTGACTACTCTGTGGTTGAAGAAATACTTCCTAACATCCCTGTGATTCATCTGTGTCTTCAGCTTCCAACTGTGTCCCCTTGTTACTGTGTCCAATCTCTGGAACATCCTGTCTTTGTCCACCTTGTCAATTCCTCTCAGTATTTTGTATGTCGTTATCATGTCCCCCTATCTCTCCTGTCTCCAGTGTCGTCAGGTTGATTTCCCTTAACTCTCCTCGTAGGACATACCTCTTAGCTCTGGGACTAGTCTTGTTGCAAACCTTTGCACTTTCTCTAGTTTCTTTACGTGCTTGGCTAGGTGTGGGTTCCGAACTGGTGCCGCATACTCCAATATGGGCCTAACGTACACGGTGTACAGGGTCCTGAATGATTCCTTATTAAGATGTCGGAATGCTGTTCTGAGGTTTGCTAGGCGCCATATGCTGCAGCAGTTATTTGGTTGATGTGCGCTTCAGGAGATGTGCCTGGTGTTATACTCACCCCAAGATCTTTTTTCTTGAGTGAGGTTTGTAGTCTCTGGCCCCCTAGACTGTACTCCGTCTGCGGTCTTCTTTGCCCTTCCCCAATCTTCATGACTTTGCACTTGGTGGGATTGAACTCCAGGAGCCAATTGCTGGACCAGGTCTGCAGCCTGTCCAGATCCCTTTGTAGTTCTGCCTGGTCTTCGATCGAGTGAATTCTTCTCATCAACTTCACGTCATCTGCAAACAGGGACACCTCAGTGTGTGTGTGTGTGTGTGTGTGTGTGTGTGTGTGTGTGTGTGTGTGTGTGTGTGTGTGTGGAAGGACCTCGAGGTGAGCACTGTACCGAACATATCACCTGAGGCGCACATCAACCAAATAACAGCTGCATCAAACGCACGTCTGGCAAACCTAAGATTACCTTTCAGGAAGCTAAGTAAGGAGTCATTCACGACACTGTATATGGCACGTCAGGCACATACTGGTGTATGACATGTCACGCACGTACTGGTGTATGACATGTCACGCACGTACTGGTGTATAACATATATCAGGCACGTACTGGTGTATAACATATATCAGGCACATACTGGTGTATAACATATATCAGGCACGTACTGGTGTATGACATATATCAGGCACGTACTGGTGTATAACATATATCAGGCACATACTGGTGTATAACATATATTAGGCACGTACTGGTGTATAACATATATCAGGCACATACTGGTGTATAACATATATCAGGCACGTACTGGTGTATGACATATATCAGGCACGTACTGGTGTATGACATATATCAGGCACGTACTGGTGTATAACATATATCAGGCACATACTGGTGTATAACATATATCAGGCACATACTGGTGTATAACATATATCAGGCACGTACTGGTGTATGACATATGTCAGGCACGTACTGGTGTATGACATATATCAGGCACGTACTGGTGTATAACATATATCAGGCACATACTGGTGTATAACATATATCAGGCACGTACTGGTGTATGACATATATCAGGCACGTACTAGTGTATAACATATATCAGGCACGTACTGGTGTATAACATATATCAGGCACGTACTGGTGTATGACATATATCAGGCACGTACTGGTGTATAACATATATCAGGCACGTACTGGTGTATAACATATATCAGGCACGTACTGGTGTATGACATATATCAGGCACGTACTAGTGTATAACATATATCAGGCACGTACTGGTGTATAACATATATCAGGCACGTACTGGTGTATGACATATATCAGGCACGTACTGGTGTATAACATATATCAAGCACGTACTGGTGTATGACATATATCAGGCACGTACTGGTGTATGACATATGTCAGGCACGTACTGGTGTATGACATATCAGGCACGTACTAGTGTATAACATATATCAGGCACGTACTGGTGTATAACATATATCAGGCACGTACTGGTGTATAACATATATCAGGCACGTACTGGTGTATGACATATATCAGGCACGTACTGGTGTATGACATATGTCAGGCACGTACTGGTGTATGACATATATCAGGCACGTACTGGTGTATGACATATATCAGGCACATACTGGTGTATAACATATATCAGGCATGTACTGTTGTATAGCATATATCAGGCACGTACTGGTGTATAACATATATCAGGCACGTACTGGTGTATGACATATATCAGGCACGTACTGTTGTATAACATATATCAGGCACATACTGGTATATAACATATATCAGACACGTACTGGTATATAACATATATCAGGCACGTACTGGTGTATAACATATATCAGGCACGTACTGGTATATAAAATATATCAGGCACGTCCTGGTGTATGACATATATCAGGCACGTACTGGTGTATGACATATGTCAGGCACGTACTGGTGTATGACATATATCAGGCACGTACTGGTGTATGACATGTCAGGCACGTACTGGTGTATGACATATATCAGGCACGTACTGGTGTATGACATATATCAGGCACGTACTGGTGTATGACATATATCAGGCACGTACTGGTGTATGACATATATCAGGCACGTACTGGTGTATGACATATATCAGGCACGTACTGGTGTATGACATATATCAGGCACGTACTGGTGTATGCAGCACCAGTTTGGAACCCACATCTGATCAAACATGAAGAATCAGGAGAAACTGCAGATATTTACAAGAGTAGTCCTGGCGATATGAGGTATGTGCTATGAGGAGAGATTAAGGGAGCTAAACCTGGTGACATTATTGGAAAGAACACTAAGAGTTATATCATAACATGAAATACTGAGAGGAATTGATACGGTGGATAGGGACAAACTGTTCGAGAGGCAGGAAACAAGTACACAAGGTCGCTGCTGGAGATTTAAAACACAGATGAGTCACAGGGATGTTATGAAGTATTTCTTCAGCCACAGAGTGGTCAGAAAATGGAACAACTAAACAGTGGAGTGGTAGAGGCAGAATCCATACATAGCTTTAAGAAGAGGTACGACAGGACTCAAATCCTGAGAGTGAGTCCAGTACCGGCAGTTGAAGGAACGGGGCTAGGTGCTGAATTACATACATACATACATACATACATACGCATTTTTATATTGTACCGCATTAGATTTTTTCACCACTCTGTACTATTCCTTTTCGTACACCGAGCTGTAGGCGGCTGGGCTTATTAAATACAGGGACACCTTGGATCGCTCAGCGGCCAAAATACGTCTAGTTATCTTAAATTCATGGGGAAGCGCTTAACACTTAGAGGTCATACAATGTCTGCGAGAATGGGAGGCAATCACATTCGATCCAAGGAAAGGAAAGTCAGGTCCAATTCCCTGAATCCAGAGCTCTCTGTGGCACCTAGGAGCCTCGTCTGAGGGGAGTCATCTTTGGAACAGGTTGCGCGCGCTCACAGCTCCCCTCACCTTACACCTACACCTTCACCACGGTTAAAACTACCACCACCATTGCTTCCTTATATCCGAACTCATGTGTGCATTAACAACTCATTACAACAGTAACCAGATATAAACATGTGAATACTTCGTTAACGCTGTAACTTGCTTATCAAAACTTTGGGGCCCAGTCCCTGAATCCATTATGTTCCTCTGTAATCATTTAACTACCGCCCACAGGATAGTATGGGATGCATAATAAACATATTAAACTACACTAACGCTGTTTCATTTTCACAAGTCCGCGAAAGTTGATTATTTTAAGCATTTATGTGAATATACGAGAGTGTCATACGGTTGGCAAAGTTGCGAACTCCGGCTTGTTGATCGACCGAGGTAACATTGCCAGTGGTGATCCAGCTGGTGCGGGGGAGAGTCACGCCACGTTACACTGCCACAACCTTCTTTAACCTCTGAATACTTCACCATTCTAGAGCCGGGAGAAGTAGTGAGGTGTACAAAATAATGGCATCAAGGTCCGGGCACGTGGTGAGGTGGCTATCAAAGCAGATTTATAATACATCATGGGGTTGTGCAAGCAACGTGAGGCTGTATTACACTTACTCTCACGAGCCGTTTCATCCACTGAAACGGGCACCTGCATGGAAGACAGCCGAGGAAGCCGTGTCTGTCATTAAGTCTGGTTAGTGGCTGATCTTCTCATCTTAAGACAACAAACTGATCGCTCACCTACCGTATTACTTATAATTTACATTAAACATGAAAGTTCATCACCAGTAATATTGCTCTATTATCTACATGGATACTCTACTGTAATATACATACATACATACACATACAACATACATACATACATACACATACAACATACATACATACACATACAACATACATACATACACATACATATCCAGTGAAGAAGGGGGCCAGGAGCTGTGACTCGAACCCCTGCAACCACAAGGTGACTACATACAATATACATACATACATACATATACATACACACACAAATGCATACATACACATACAACATACATACACATACAACATACATACACATACATATACAACACACATACAACATACACATACAACATACACATACAACATACACATACATATACAACATACACATACAAACATACACATACATATACAACATACACATACAACATACATATACAACATACATACACATATACAACATACATACACATACAACATACATATACAACATACATATACAACACACACAACATACATATAAAACACATACAACATACATACACATAAAACATACATACACCCCCGAAACTCTCTCCAGGTAAACTCCAGGTAAACACATACAACATACACATACAACACACGTACATATACAAGCATGCATAATAAAAATGTATATAGTAATGCATACCAAGTATGTTACACGTAGTCATGACTTATTTCATGGGTCTTCATGGTAAGACTGAACTTATGTAACTAAGTTAAATTAGGTTAGGCTACGTTAAAATCGGCTTCAGCAAATCAAAGGTAAAGGTACAATATACGTCATTTTTTTTTAAAGAAAAAGCTTGAGTAGGTTGCAATAGCTTCAAGATTCTTTCACTCTAGTATTTATAGTCTTACAGAAGTTATAACATTTCACTCGTACATCACTAGTCATGGTTGTGACCAGGCGGACATCAACCAAATCTTTCAGTGGGCTGCAGAAAACAATATGAAGTTCAACGATGAGAAATTTCAATTACTCAGATATGGTAAACATGAGGAAATTAAATCTTCATCAGAGTACAAAACAAATTCTGGCCACAAAATAGAGCGAAACACCAACGTCAAAGACCTGGGAGTGATCATGTCGGAGGATCTCACCTTCAAGGACCATAACATTGTATCAATCACATCTGCTAGAAAAATGACAGGATGGATAATGAGAACCTTCAAAACTAGGGAGGCCAAGCCCATGATGACACTCTTCAGGTCACTTGTTCTAACTAGGCTGGAATATTGCTGCACAGTAACAGCACCTTTCAAGGCAGGTGAAATTGCCGACCTAGAAAATGTACAGAGAACTTTCACGGCGCGCATAACGGAGATAAAACACCTCAATTATTGGGAGCGCTTGAGGTTCCTAAACCTGTATTCCCTGGAACGCATGAGGGAGAGATACATGATTATATACACCTGGAAAATCCTAGAGGGACTAGTACCGAACTTGCACACGTCACTCACTACGAAAGCAAAAGACTTGGCAGACGATGCACCATCCCCCCAATGAAAAGCAGGGGTGTCACTAGCACGTTAAGAGACCATACAATAAGTGTCAGGGGCCCGAGACTGTTCAACTGCCTCCCAGCACACATAAGGGGGATTACCAACAGACCCCTGGCAGTCTTCAAGCTGGCACTGGACAAGCACCTAAAGTCAGTTCCTGATCAGCCGGGCTGTGGCTCGTACGTTGGTTTGCGTGCAGCCAGCAGCAACAGCCTGGTTGATCAGGCTCTGATCCACCAGGAGGCCTGGTCACAGACCGGGCCGCGGGGGCGTTGACCCCCGGAACTCTCTCCAGGTAAACTCCAGACCTACCTGGAGTTCATTACCTTTGTAAATTGTGAGTTCATTACCTTTGTAAATTGTGAGTTCATTACCTCTGTAACTTGCTCAGCTATCAAAACTTTGGAGTCCAGTCCCTGGACCAATTATGTACCTCTGTAATCTTTTGACTACCGCCCACAGGATGGGTATGGGGTGCATAATAAACATATTAAACTAACTAACTAACATCACTAGTGAAGAACAGTCCTGAATATAGAGATTAAAGTTAACTCGTTTTTATATAACCTGTGTTATACCAGTTGATACTTCACCTTTATAATGTGAGATTGTGAAGGTTAGCAGCTAACAAACTGAAAACAATTGTACTAATCATAACCTCAGACCGCAGCTGAGGTCTGACAGTGCCTGTGCAATACAGCTTAACCAACATATGATGAATGGTTTAGAAAACCGACAAGTTGAAGAATTGAGACACTTATGCAACACATGGGAATCTTGATTGAAGAAACGTTTCGCCACACAGTGGCTTCATCAGTCCAATACAAAGTAGAAATGGGTAAGGAGAGGAGAAGTTTGAGGTAATCAGTCCCTCAACCTGGAATCGATGTGTTCAGAGTGGTGGACTGAACACATTGATTCCAGGTTGAGGGACTGATTACCTCAAACTTCTCTCCTTACCCATTTCTACTTTGTATTGGACTGATGGAGCCACTGCGTGGCGAAACGTTTCTTCAATAAAGATTCCCATGTGTTGCATAAGAGTCTCAATTCTTTAACCAACATAAACTGATAGACCAGGATACCTTTAAACCGGCGAAGCCAGAATTTCTGTTCCGGTTGGGGGGATGGGGACGAGACTTGCTCTGAAGCAGCCATATTGTTATTGTTACTTTTATTGGGGGCCCTGGAAATTTTGGGGGGTTTCGCACTATTGCCCTCAAACTACTAATGGACAGCCCAGGGTTGTAATCAGTTCCCTTCTTGAAGGCACGATTTTGCCAAGTCATCAATTCTATCATGCTTTAAAGACATATGTGCAATGGAATCCACAGGTGTAATTATGTAATATAATCTGACTCCATTGCGTATAATTTACAGTACTGTGTTTGAAGATTTGAGACACTTATGCAACATATGGGAATCTTTATTCAGGAAACGTTTCGCCACACAGTGGCTTCATCAGTCCGTTACAAAGCAGAAGGTGTAAGGAGAGGAGGAGTTTGAGGTAATCAGTCCCTCAGCCTGGAGTCGATGTGTTCAGTCCATCTAAGGGACTGATTACCTCAAACTCCTCCTCTCCTTACACCTTCTGCTTTGTAATGGGCTGATGAAGGTACTGTGTGGCGAAACGTTTCCTGAATAAAGATTCCCATATGTTGCATAAGTGTCTCAATCTTCAACTTGTCGGTTTTTCAAACCATTCATCAGTACTGTGTTTGCTGACTGCTGACAAGAGCAGGTCACAGTTTACACGTGGATTTAAGAGCATGTATGAAAAATAGAGAACTACTTTTAATTAAATTATAATCTTGAGATAGTAGGAACATGGACACATTTGAGCACAAGAACTACAGAAACCAGTTCAGTTTGGAAGGTTGTTCATGTATGTTCAGTTGTTCATGTATGTTCAGTTGTTCATGTATGTTCAGTTGTTCATGTATGTTCCAGTTTCTATAAGTCGTCGTCAGTGTTTGACCACAATGATACTACCAGTTGCACGAGCCGCATCGTCCATAGCTAATTGTTATATAATACGATTCTTTGTGGGAAAGTGAGGGATTGGGATTTGGAAAGAGGTAATATACCATGGTCCAAGGAAGTGTCGTTGTTGTTACGTGATATAGTGTATATGATTTATTTGGTAGTTAGTTCCAGTTTTATAATCCATTTGAAACAGTGCCTACCTGTGTTTTTAATATAGAGAATACAGGAGTCAGTAGATTTCAGATTTTATGCAGCAAATGAAGGTAATTTAGGGGTGGAAATCTCACAGGGATTCTGCACTCTTGGTTACTGCTTGGTGAAGGTCAGAAGTCTTTTTCTAAGTGATGCAATATTCCAACCAATATTCTAAGTGATGCAATATTCCAACCAATATTCTAAGTGATGCAATATTCCAACCAATCTTCTAAGTGATGCAATATTCCAACCAATATTCTAAGTGATGCAATATTCCAACCAATATTCTAAGTGATGCAATATTCCAACCAATATTCTAAGTGATACAATATTCCAACCAATATTCTAAGTGATGCAATATTCCAACCAATATTCTAAGTGATACAATATTCCAACCAAGCATATAAACCCGACTGTGAGCTCTGTTCTGCTGTTAAGCAATGCCAGTAATAATTTGCAGTGTAACATGTCAGATCTCAATGTGATACAGTCTAGTAACACTAAAACAACAATGTAATATTTCGCGTAAATTAACTACCAATATTGTACATAAAAATTAAAGTGCATACAAAAGAACATACTCATGTAAGTTGCACAGTTGGTAATGTAGTGTATTATAAGCTTATTATATGTTGATCAGCAGTTGGTGCACATCTGATGAATCATAAGTTTGAGCATTGTTAAACATTATCATCAACTTGACGACAGTGTCCTCATACGTTGAAAACAATATTCAGTATGTATAATACAAGTTTGAATAACGTTTTCGATGATATTCTGTATATTTCTTAAGCAAAGCGCTTATTCTGTGTGACCCGTACGGGCTTAGCGTTTGTTTTAAATGGAATAATAATACATTTATAATTTTGATACGACTGATCATTGGAAAACCACAATGACATACAGCAAGATCCAGTTTAAACCTGGTCTTTCAGAGGAGGGACAGGTGGAGACAGTGCAAGATTGAGACTGCAAAAACCTGATCAAAACTAAATTTCAGAGCAGAAGGCATTACAGATTTAGAGGGTGAAAGACACTGCTCTAAAAGTCAAAAGGACTTGGGCTAGTGTTTTAATAATAATAATAATAATAATAATAATAATAATAATAATAATAATAATAATAATAATAATAATAATAATTAATAATAACAATAATAATAATAATAATAATAATAATAATAATAATAATAATAATATTTTTTTTTGACGTGATACATGGTTGTACAAA